AATACCAAGCAGCGGTTTGCTCAGGTAGCGAGTCGCCTGATGAAGATCAAGGCCTCGGGACTTCGGTAATGCGATGCGAGTGGAGCGGGTCAGGTCTTGCAGCGGAGCGAGCAGGAGCTTGCCCTTGGAGCAAGGGGGTGATGTGGGGGGAGGGGATTGGCAAAATCTGCCCCAGGCACCAGTTGTTGGCTTATTTTCCAGTATTCATAGGGCTTCACGCATCCCAACTGGCGCAGGATTTTGTCCATCAGCAGTATTATAGGGAGCCCTGGTTGGGTTTCGTGCAGGACTACTTGGGTGCCACTTCCAGTGACATCACGCGCCACTTCCGGAATGCTGATCCTGATTTGCATCCCTTCGAACGTGCTCGAGAGTACCAGCGCGCTCTCAAGGCAAGCCTTCCGAGTTTGTGCGAAGGGCAACCAACATGTCAACATAGGGACTGGCAGTGCAATTTTTCAGTTTGTTTGTGATCTGTGTAAAATTGCGTGTTATTTTGTTATTGTTTTGTGCAACTGTTTGTCTTGTCTTCTGTTCTAATACATTCCCGTGTTTTCAAGACACCGAACATCCTCAAGAAAACCAACAAACACAAAAAACACAACAAAATCGGCAAACACGCAGTTCCTGGACATTCTTTCCATTGGATCAAGCCGCGTATGTCTTGTTTTTTCTTGGGTCTTATCAAAGTTTTGCTAGTTTCTGGATTTGGGCAGGGCTGGTCCAGTGGATTTTGTTTTCGTTGAAATAAACTCATACTTAAACATCCAGTTTGAAATGGGCATCCGAGTTGAGCTGCTTTTAATTGTGTTTTTGAAATAGCTGTGTTTAAATATGAACAGTTCGATTGAACAGGACATTCTGGGTAAATTATAAGTTGAAATACAATAGTTCTTTTCACGTTCTGAACATAATTTCTGGTTGGGTTCTTTCCTTATCAAGTTCTACCTAAACTCACACTGACTTGTAAAGTTCTATCTGGCAAGGAATTTCTTTCAACGTTCTCGAGAATCAAGATTGAAAGTTGAAAAGGTTTCGGAACACACTTTTCCTAATCAACTTCTGAGCTTTAGAGAGCGGCCGTTGGTGGAGATGTGCCAACGCTACCAAATACTGTGTTTTGTCGTGTTTTCTTAATACTTAGGGTTAGGTAAAAGCATGATGTTTGGACCTTTGATTTTGTCCTTATGACATTGTGCTTAATATCTTGATTAAACATACTCAAATTCAAATTGACTTTTTAGAATAATTTAGTAAGGACAGAACCCAATCACAATGTTTATTTAGAATTTAATTTTACATAGTATTTTTCTACTTTAACAAGTTTTTCACAGGATTTCCTTTCCAATCAAACTTTCTTTTACAATTCACTTACATTTAAACACAATTTATTCAAAACAAGCTCAACACAAGCCCAATGCAACCGGGGGGTAGGTAAAACACATTGTTTGGACCTCGGATTTCTTTCCTTGTAACTTTTTTTGTTTGGTAAAGTTCTACTCAAGTTCTAACTGACTTTGTATATATTGTGGTAAGAGTTAGAAATTGAATATTTAATGTCTATTTCAATTTAGAGTTTACACAGGATTTCCTTTCCAATAGAAGTTTAATGTAAGCAAAGCAAGTGCAAGCAACAGATACAGACTGGCATACACGAGGAGATCGACATACAGCAGAAAGTGCACATGTTGCAGTCCTCGGAACAAACATGAAAACCATACACATGCCCAAAAGGAAGCTCTTTCGACAAGGGGTCTTGAACGTTCAAAACAACACAGGCCCAAATGAGTGCGTCTCAAATATGAGCTGGACAACCCCAAATTGGTGTGGTTCCCTTTGGTTTCCTTTAGGCAAAACCACTCCAAACAGGGTACAAGCCCAAAGGGGTGTGTCTTAAAACAGCGGGCCCAACAACTGGCTCTAACTAACCCGTTTGGTTTCCCTGAAAAAAACAGGACCACCCGAAACAAGACAAGCCCAAATGGCAGTGGGTTGAGAGGCCGTCAAGCTGGAGAAGCTCTTTGCCAAGCCTCTCGTCAAGGCGCGCAGGGCAGGTAGTGAATCGCTTGGCTTGAGGCAGTCCGCGCTAGTTGGACTTGGCGCATGTTGTGCGTGTGTGTCTGTGTGTGTGTGTGTGTGCTGGTTGCGTTGAGGGGTCATTTTTGTTTGGTTGCTTTAAAGGGAACGGGGCAGGAAGATCAATTCCATTTGTAGGGCCCCCTATGTTGATGCCCTGCGGATCTCGACCAGTTTGGTCGCAAGCACAAAGTTTAGACTTCTCCTCGCCAATCCGCTCAAGTGAGCTGATCGGCAAAGCCACTGCTTGCAGGCGCTGGAGGGTCACACAGACTCTGTGAAATGCATGGCCGTGGCCCGCATTGCAGCTTGCACCTCAGTCCCCGAGCTTGGCTTGACCCCACAGTGAAACAGAGTATCTCACAGTCTTTTGTAAAGAGCTTGTCATTGAGCAGAGGACAAGAGGAACCCGTTGTAGAGTCATCAGAATTCCGCGAGCAAACGGCGCTTCAAGCCTGGTTTGCCGTGGATGAAGTATTGCTATGGCGTGAAACGATCATGCTACGGTTCATGTTGGTGTTGCAGTGTTTGTCTCTAGCAGGTGTGTGGTGGTGTCAGGTCAAGAGACCAACCAGCACTGGGATCCAGCCAGCAAACATATCAAGAGCGCCTGCGCATTGCTTTTGAGGCAGCGCCGCTACTGCAGCCGGCTTACTCGCGACTCGCGACCATGGCTTCTGAATTGGGCAAGCTGCAAGCGGATTTGCCCGAGGACAGGAAGCTGCAATGGCGAGTTGCGCTTGTGGAATATGTGCGGGGCCCATGACTTCAAGAGGGTTTCCACCACCCCGAAACTATCCCCCGAGAATCCGGAGTATTTACACTTGATATGGTTGCATACCTCCTTTTGGCCTTGGGGGTGGTTTGTGGGGAGTGGAACCTCTCTCAGAATGCCTCTAACCAATGTCGCGGCTGCACGAGGCAGCATTTAGTCTGTGGGAGCTCGGTGACCAAAGCTCATGAGGCAGGCCCCTTTCATGGCAGTTGATAGGGGAGTCTCAGAGTTGCGGCAACACCTTCACTTCTCTGGTTGCTGGAGTCCATAGTTATCACAAACTTATCCACCATTGTCAGACGTACACATCTTGCGAGGGGACACAGGGTGACGTTAATCTTATCTCTCGCACTGGGCCCCTTTTTGAAAGCGTTGAACGAGAATCCCAAAGGACACCGTTGCAATTTTCCGGAACCGATTCCCATGAGAAATGCCCATCTTGCAACTTGCGAGGGCTTCGTGCGTGGTGTGACCATGAATCCCGATGGCCGCCGGGCTATTTCCTGTGGAGATGACAAGGCAGGGATGTTGCGCCGGCCGCACTTTCTCTCATCTGCCAACCAAACCGAAGCTACCCAAAAAGGTTCGATAGGGGTTGCAACTACTATGTAGCCACTATGTGACGGTACATTATATATACTCCATTTTTCCGTAGGGGGAGCGGCAGGGTAGTAGAACCCAGCTTAGAGTGGTTCATCTGGGTGAAGGCGGGTATCTGGTCCGCCATAATCAGAGCTCATAGCAAGGCAAGGGCAAACCATTTGTTTTTGCGGTCTTTCTTTTTTGAAGGCTTAATAGACACAGTCTGCATTGTGCGTGCTTTGTGCAATCATTACTTCTATAGAAGTCATCCATTTCTAATTTCCAACGTGGTAGTTTCAGTGGCATTTACACCAGCTCACCTGTTGAAAGTTTTTTGCAGGACTCCTTGCTGCAAGGTCCCATGCATGAATTTGGCTGTCACCAAGGTCACAGACGAATGGCATTGCTGCATTGTTTTATGCATGGCGCCCACCCGGCATGGAAGGCCAGTTCGCCAGGATTAGGCAACAGTTGTTCAAACAATCAGACCTTGGGCTTCAGAGAGAAACTAAAAGACCCACAGTCAACATTCGCCGTTTGCTGTTCCCCAAATTCGAACCCTGGGACACAAGCTCAAAATGCTCCCCGTGCGGTGCGGGTCGGGCGGAGGCCGCCAAGATGTGGGGCATCGGCAAGAAGGCCTGCACGATCTCGGAGGAGCCGCAGGTGGGGTGGTGATGGATGTGGTTTTGGGGGTTCAGCTTGGTGTTAAAAGGGTTGGTCAAGGAACGTCAATAGGAGTTTGGACATCCTTCAATCAGGAGTTCTATGAAGGATACCATGGTCTGGACCACAAAAGGAGCGCCCATATGGCACAGGTGGCTGCAAATTGTCACAGGGAAGTGCCGAAAAGCGGTCGGTGGACAGTTTTATCCCAATGTACCCGAATTGCAAGTCATACCAAAAGTAGGTAAAGGTCAGTTTTCTGTGCTGGATCGTCTCTGGGAAAGGGCAACTTGGACGTCGGACAGGCGACCTTTCACATGGCCTACATCCCTGGCGCCAGGGACCCAGGTCGCGGTCCGTGCCTTTGTCCAGGGTCCTTTGTCATTTTTTCCCTTTGGTGCTTCAAACAATTGGAACGTTGCCTTTGGGGCCAATTTTAGCTGAGCTGTTTTGTGGTGGTGTTTGCAGACATGGCAGATACCGTCAATGTTCAACTACAGCGGCAAGGGATGACATGGGGAACACTGACTCACTTGTTTTTTCTCCTTCAATAGTCTGTTTTGTGGATTCCCCTCAAAACCATCGGCGAAGGGGGTCCACCATTTTGAGAACTCGCGTCTGAAATCGGAACCCCGGGTGTTTGTGGGTTTTGTCGAAGACGAGGCCATCGATCACCACTGGCGGAGGCCCATGTTTGTGACTGTGGGCGATACCGTGGCTCGGCTTTTGTGGCAAGAGGTTGCAAGACCCCAAGAGGGAGCATGAGGAACAAAAGCAATCCGGAACCCTAAACGCCGCTAGTGATATCAAGGTTCTACAAGGTTCTGTAACACATGTTTGTAGAACCTTATAGAACACAGGCTTTCGAGTTGTGGCGACCAGCATGCGGCCGGCTAAGGTGGATGTTTGGGACTACAATCGATCTGCGCCTTTGAGCACCTTCGAATGGGGCTGCGAGCGAGTCATCACAGTCTCCTGGCGCGGGGAGACGGGGTGGATTCACCGCCGCAAGGTTTGTGAGGGGACGTCCCTACCAACATGACCGCTGTAGCACAAGGCTTTGATTGGTCACATTGAGTTGCGGATGCTGGTTCAATGGCGGGACAAACGGTGCACACACAGCGCACCAATTCCTTCAGGTTCATGGCGCTTGGATTTGTTTGCGTCGCTTGGCACCCTAGGCTCGCTTCAACCCAGCAGAAGCGGCGCTGTTGGCCTCCACAGCCGTTGACAGATCCGTGGGACTGTACGTCCGGCACTCAGAAATCGGGAGTGCGCGTTTCCAAGATGGTTTTCACTGCGGGCGTATACCACGTTTTTCGCCAAGGGCAGTGGTTTGGGGAAGTGGAAACCATCTTGGACCGTTGGAAGCGAGTTGCAAGCTGAAATAGTCAGGACTTGCGAGAAAATTCTCCCATTCGAAAGGCTGGCATCGGTCTCTCGCAGAATTTTGTTTACATGTTCCAACCATGAGTCTGGAATTTCTGGAAGGTGGTGCTCAAAATGCGATCCAACGGCATTTGCTGGAATCCCATGCGGCCTATGCACCTGGGCATCATTTTCTTTGTGTCTTGGATGCCTTCAACCCTGACAAACTCAGGAATTTTACTGTTGCGAATGAGGATTGCAGCTCCTAATCTGCATGAATTGTGCAATTGACCGAAGGCTGTATTCCTGGTGCGCAAGTGTTCAAGGTCTGTATACCTTCGATATGCGGAACTTGTCAGCCGCCACATGCAGACACTGGGACCACGTGATGGCTGTTCTTGATGTGGACTATGCCCCCAGTGGTCACTGGGCAAAAACAAGCCTTTTGTGCTTTGTGCTGCTCTGGCTTGGTTTCATGCCGGTTTCATTCTGCAAGGCCAGGAATTCGTCTCTGGGAGCTATGACAACACCGTGAGGATTTGGGATTGCAGGTCTCAGCGCTCCAAACAGGCCAGGCAACAGCTCCTGGTTGGCGTGCTCGCTGCTGGTTTTTCTTTCCCTTATGCCCCAAACTAAGGGAGTTACCCCATCTACTGCGGCCCTTGTTGTCCGGTGGATTGCTTGCAGGTCTACCATGGCAAGCGCATGCAGCATCTTGGCATTTGACAGATTCAGTCTTGGGCCTGCAATGAAGTCACCCAGGGTTGATGGAAGCATTTAGTCAAGCGGCCACCTTCGAGGGGAAACCAGAAGGAGCTCGTTCAAACAACAGGTGTTTTTTGAACAGGAGGCCAACCCTGACCGAGTCAATCATTTAACATATATGTAGACTTCAACATAGGCTCATGCGCCTCACATCTCAGGCGAGTGCTTTGCTGCCACTTCACCCCAGATGGCAGATTCGTCCTCTCCGGCTCTGAAGATACCAACATCCGGGTTTGGAAGGCGCGTTTGCATGCGCGCACATGCGATGCCGTTTGAAGTTTAAAATCCGGCCCCCAAATGTGTGTTTCTCTTCAGTTTCCCAAAACAACCCGTTGCTTTTTGCAAATCGAAGTCTGGCCTGGTTTTGGATGGGTTCTTTTCACCTGTCGGGTGGGGTCCCAAGCCTCCAAACAACAAGACCCACTTGGGTATGTGTGGAAACTGGGGCCCCAAAATGCTGATTATCCTTGGTTTCCCTGCAAAGCAATCTGAAACGGGTATCCTCAAAAAGCATTCGCACCGGCTTGGGGCGTTCGATTCGCCGGACTTTTTGTGTTCTCGAGGCCAAGCCGGATCAGAAGCTGGGCGTGGCCACGCCGCGAGAGAGCAGGGCAGAGGCGCGGCGGAGGTTTCTCAAAATGGTGCAGCCCGCTCTGGTTGGTCTTTCAAGGGGAACCGAAAGGGCACCAACCAAAAGGAATATGGCGGGTGGGTGTTTCCCCAAAATAGGGACCCCGTCAACATGGGCAGTTGCTTCTTAGTGTCTCTTTTACACAACCCATGGTTAACATGAATTGTCTAGATCCCCTCCTTTGGTTTCCAGTTAAAACCAGCCAAAAGGGGTTCCCAAAAAAGACACCCATGAGCGCGGTGAACCTGTGAATGGCCAGGCGTACAGAGAAACATTGAAGCAGAAGTTTTCTAGAATGCCAGAGATTGCGCGCATCAAGCGGCACAAGCGCGGGTCTCAGAGTCTCTGCGATTGCGATTCTCTGCGATTCCGCGCGAGAGTCGCACGCGCAATTGCGACTGTAGGCACGTCCCGAAGATGGCAGACTCCTCAGCTCTAAACGTGTCCTTGTAGCCAGATGGCACACTTTTTTGGGGTGGTTTCAAGGAATACCAAAAGAAACACCACGATGCATTCCAACATGGTGCTCCCCCCCCAGCTGTCTTGTAGCTTGCAACCCTGATGCAAGACTCGGTTTTGGCAATTTGCTGAGATCAAATCGCTTACCGACAAGCGGCGCGTGATGAGGGAGGCTTGCTCCGTGGGATTAGGCATGAGCACTGGAAGAAACTTGGGTATTGTCTCAAAATAGGGCGACTACGCTAAATGAAAGGTTTCCTTCAGGTTTCTCCTGAAAACCGGCCAAGAAAGAGATGCCCGCAAAGAAGCACACAATATTCAAGGCCATTGGCAAGATCTATATTCACCAACAATTTTCGAAAAAAAAGAAAAAGAAAAGGACAAACACATCCACAAACACAAAATGACATGAGGGTTTCTAAAAATGGTGGACCTGTTTTGGTTGGTATTCAAGGGGAAACCAAAAGGACAACCACCATTTTGAGGGACCACGAACTTGAGCACCCCCGCACCAGAAATATGACAGACGGATGCAGACAAAACCGTGCCCGGCGCAGGCCCGGCAGCGCAAGGAGACCAACCGCAGGAAGCACTCCAAGCCCGGAACAGCGGAGCACGTTCCCATGAAGCCCCCTGGATGCAGTTGGTCTGCGGCTCGTTTTTTGAGGCGAATTCCCTTGTTGGCTCAAAACGAAAACCAACAGGAAACCGAAAGCATTCTTTTGGGGGCCCCCCTATTTGACGCGGATCAGGACCCATTTGGGAAACTCTCACAATTTGGAAGGGACATGGGGGAGCTCGCGAAGTTTCCCACAAACCAAAGGACTCAGGAGTTGTTCCATATTACTCCGGAAACTAAAGGCCAATTCTGGCCACTGCTCTGGAGTTCTGAAACAATTAGGCAACTTGCAGTTATTATTATGTAGTCACGCTAGAAGCGATTTATCTAGAGGTTCGGTCAAAATCATCAGTCTATGGTTCCTTCGGGAGGAACACTGGGAGTTTCACTCCTTTCCTCTGGGATCAATCACAGAAGCTTTGTTTTCGGCTTGGATTGCCCGACAAGGAAGCGCCCAATCTTGAAGGAGCTGGACTGATCGGTGTGATCGCAAGCGGTGAAGAGGTTTCACCCCTCCGCATCGAGCCAGATGTTTAGATCAAAAAGGTCGATGTTCGCTGACCCCAGTCACATATGGGTCTGTGTCAAAATAGTGGACCCCAAAATGGGTGGTTAGGTCACTCTCAAAAAGCACACGCGCACTCTTTTTGAGCCACCCATTTCGGGAGTTCCGATTGTGACACACCCATATTTTCCTGCACGCAGCCGCTGCGCGTGGCTCATAGTTGGAGTGGACGATATGACACAGAACAAGCGCTTGCCAGCGATTGCACTCGCCTCCGACGTCCGATGTTCTTAGTTTTACCACCCTGATGGCAGTGTAGTTCCCAAGAGATCATTCCTCTTTCAGGTAGCCCTTGATTGGTGGGTGGGGAATTGGACCCCTCCTTCTTGGAGACCAATCCAAACCACCAGATTTTACGGCAGCTTCTCTTGCGTGTTTCTTGGATCCCGTGCCTGCGGATGGCACCTAAAAAGGCAGAACCTGACCGCTGCGCTGTGGTGTGGCGTCTTGGCAAACTGGAGGGTCCAACCAACAAAGCACCATCTTGGCCCAGGGTTGCCGTATTTTTCAGGGTGAGTCGGGGTTCGAATACTCCTTCTGTTGCCGCTTGGCCAACAGCGCGACTTGTCCGAGGTTCCGAAAGGGCCTTCGGTTGAAGGACAATGCTGCCCTGGTAGAGGCCTCTTGAGGGTTGTCCAAAAGGTGATGTCTTTGTTTGAGCCCTTTTGTGACCCACTCAACATGATATGAATTTTGATAGCGAAGCACCTCAATAAGGGTTGGTGGACATGAATTCCCAGCTAAATGATGCTTATCAAACGGGGTCCGTAATTAAGTTTCGTGCTCAAACCCGTCCCAAATTGGGGCTCTTTCTTTTTGAGCCCTCGCTTGCAGGGTGGCTCATATCCCCTGTCCCTCGGATTCCAGGTACCGGAACTTGCAGAGATGATCAATCACACATAGCTGTGTTCTGTACGAGGGTATCCTGTCATACAAAGGAAAAGCACCATTTGTGAGGTTCTCAGCTCCAGGTTCTCAGCTCCTATTCCGACACATACCCACGTTGCGCCTTGTTTTCCATGGCCACTGTGCAACTGAAATGGGGGAGGCCGCCTTTCGTGTCTCTTGTGGTCACAACACCAGGCGTCCAAAGGCGGCTTCAAGCACCTGTGTCCGATTCTCGACCAGCGAGCGCCCACATCAGCTTTGCCGAATGCGCGGAATGGGTTTGCCTCAAAGTAGGGAAACCCGTGAATGGATGGATTCGTTTTGGTTCCCCTTGGAAGCAATCCCAAGAAGGGTACCGACCCTCAACAAAAAGACATCCAAATTTGATCCAAGGTCCAGTCTTCATCATCGATCCACACTTCGGGCCGAGCCACGTTGGCATCAATCGCCCTTCAGTTGCAGCAGGGCTCCTGAAACGACACAAGTTGGCCATTCAAATCATTGCGTTTTCTACCGGACCAAAAGAAGACTGCCATGGCTGAGGCAATGTTCAGGTGCCGCCGAGTACTGGAATCTCTCCTGCTGTTTTTCAAAAGAGAGAGAGAGAGAGAGAGAGAGAGAGAGAGAAAGAGAGAGCCTTTCAAGGGTGGACCTGGTTTCAAGACGCGCACCATATGGGTGCATCAAGGTATGGGCGCATCTCGAGAATAGGGGGGTGGGTTTTCCTGTTGGTTTCCGTTTAAACCAACCTGAAAAGGGTATCCTCAGCTGGTGCTTTTCATTTTTCTCGTATTGGCCCAGGGTACAACTTCTTGCTGGAGAGCCTGCAGGATTTGGACACGCTGCCCGGCTTCGTTTCTGGGGTCCAGTCTCGACCTGCGGAGGGTGTGCAAAAAGGGGGGTGCGTGTCTTTGGAACTTTTTTGTGATGCCCGATAAAGACATGCACCGCGGATGCTCCTTTTTGCAAATCGGGTCCACAATTGGCACACTTCCTTTCCCGAGGCAGCTTCGGAATCGGTACCGCCGCCTTGGCTGCACGTACTGGACATACGCTGGGTCATGGAGTGATCTGAGGCATGGTCAATATTTATTGCGTCCCGAAGCGACATGGGTTTTGGTAAGTCACCGCCATTTCTGAATGATAATTTGGTGAGTGTGACTCATGTCATCTCCCGTACTACGGAAAACGATAGCAAAATGGTAAATATTGACTCGTTGCTCTGGGGTTGTTTCTAGGGGAGCCCCAAAGGTGGTTCTTTGGGGGTACCTGTCAGTTTTTCCAGTTTGAGAGGCATGTACATCAGCCTCCCTTGTGCATTTGCCTCCACACCGCAATTGGCTCAATACAGGAGCTCCTTTTGCCATAGGCCTCATTTTGAGGCATTCGCTACATGTCGTTGTGAGGAACCGCAACGTCGCGGTTCAGCCTGGAGACGCTCAGACAACTGAGCGGAGAATCGGAGGTGGAAAAGGATTGGCAGCTTGCCAGTGACACTGGTAGCGGAGCTTTTGCTCCTGGGACTTTGGAGGAGGAACTTCACGGTGAAGGTCTTGAAGGGTGGCACTCACGGACATCCAGACGGGCCTTCAACTCCGTGGAGATGAGCGACACGCGCGACCTTGCGCGTGTCCAGTGGGACGGAGATCCTGCCGGATGGCAAGACTACGTCAGGAAGGCGCGCCTAGCCTGGGAACGCACGCGGAAGCGAAATCGGCGTCGCCTCGGACCTGAATTGGCTGCTCAGTTGAGTGGGAGAGCATGGATGATCACCCAACAGTTGGACCACTCCAAGCTGACGCAGCCCAACGGCGCCCGGTACCTGCTGGAGTACTTGGAGACTCACCTCGCCAAGGTTCCTGTGCCAGACGCCGGATCGAGAGCCGAGGCCCCACGGCATGAGCATGGCGACATGGTGCTCTTCGGTCAGGGAAGCACATCGCCAGCTTCAAAGGGCACTTAAGCGTGCTCATGCAGGTCTACCTACAACGAGCGAGAGTTTGCCCAGTTCCTCGCCCACGGCTGGTCGAGCGGCTCGCGGAGCAGGTGGACTTTTGGAAAGAGCGCAAGAAGATCCTGAAGAAGATGATGAGGAGCCGGAAGAGGATGAGGCAGAGGATGATCTCGGCGACTTCGGAGAAGCATCTGCTCTGGAGTCTGCTGTCAAGAAAGCAAAGGGGAAGGGGCGGAAGGCCCGGAGATCGAGATCATCTTCCTCTTCCGAGGAGGTCACCCCGGACATGACGTGGACCGACCTAGACACAGCACTGCCTCCTGCTCTGCCAGATGAACTCTTGGGTTGGTTGATGCTGAGGAGGTCCTCACTCAGCGCAGCTCAGCGACTCAACGTCCTGGCCTCCATCCAGAACAGCCTCAAGACAGCAGACGTCGAGAGAGGCCTTCGAGCGGTGGAAGACGAGCTGCGTTACATGGACAGGGATGGAGGAAATTCCAAAGGCAAGGGACGTGGTCGATCCTTCTGGGTGGAACAAGAAGGCAGCTGGGGCATCTTGCTGGCAGAGGAGGATCAGATGGACGAGTTTGTGAACATGGAGGAGATCCATTGAGTTGAAAAGCAGCTGGACTCCCCCAAGGAGGTCTTCCACGCCATGCCCCAGATGGAGCGATCGACTTACTGGAACAAGGAGGCGGACGGTTCCTACACGTTCTGGACCCAGGACGAGCAGGACGGCGAGTACTACTACCAGGATGGTGCAGGAGCCTTCTGGGCCTGGAGCGACTGGCAGGACGAATCTGCCCGGTGGTCAGCCTTGCCTGAGCAGCAGAAGGAACTCAACGAGGCCTACGCAGCCCTGGACCACAAGATTCGCACTTTTCAGGAGTCTCGACAACTGATGTCAGAGAAAGGCGCGAGTCGTGGCTTCTACCCAAAAGGAAAAGGAAAAGGCAAAGGAAAAGGGAAGAAGAAAGGTCAGCCGGTCATGATGGCTCATCAGACAATGCCGAACATGCCGGCCCTTCCCACGGTCCTCGCGGTCCAACCGGGCACCCCAGGCTACACTGGATGCTTCATCTGTGGAAACCACAACCACGACTACCGCAACGAAAAGGGAAAGGTGGAAAACCAACCGGGAAGTCCTACATGGTGGACACCGTGCATCCGGTGTTCATGGTGAAGGAGGAGTTGGACTCCCCCAACAGCGAGATCACACGTTCAGTGAACTCAGAGTCCACCTACGCGGAGTCCACCTATTCCCTAAAGTCTGAGGCGGTCAAAGAGGAGCCCGAGGGCAAGAACGCAGCTGAAGCAGAGGACGAGCCCTACACGTCGGACGATGGCGGCCCTGCCTACCTGATGAACTTCTATGACTTCGAGAACGGTCCTGACAGCAGTGGCTCATCCTGAGCTAGAAGGATATGGAGTCCTAGACACCGGAGCCACTGAGACGGTGGGCAGCCTGATGGCGGTGGCCTTTGGTCAGGGCTTCTCGGGAAATTCAGGGAGCCCGAGAACACGACGAGCCAGATCACGGCCGCGATGATCATCGACGCCAAATCCGTGTACGATGCCTTCTGGAAGGGGGACACTGCCTTGAGTGGCTACAGCATGAAGGAGAAGTACGCGACGCTCGAGCTCATGGCAGTCTCCGAGAGTATGAGGCGCCAGAACACGGATCAGATGCGGCAGTTCCTGGAGAAGGGCCAGATCTGGAACGTCCGCTACGATCCGCAGTTCCTGGCGGCGAAGAAGAAGAAGAAAGTGCAGCCGGGCATGTTCGACGAAGACTTCGTGCCCGAGGAAGACGCTAGCTGGCGAGACCTTCTGAGCCGCGAGCAAATTGCGGGTTTTGGCAAGCCTTCTTTGGGCATGTCAGTTTTTCCAGTTTGAGAGGCATGTGCATCAGCCTCCCTTTTGCGTTTGCCTCCACACCGCAATTGGCTCAATACAGGAGCTCCTTTTGCCATAGGCCTCATTTTGAGGCATTCGCTACATGTCGTTGTGAGGAACCGCAACATCGCGGTTCAGCCTGGAGACGCTCAGACAACTGAGCGGAGAATCGGAGGTGGAAAAGGATTGGCAGCTTGCCAGTGACAGTACCGCCAACAAGACCACTCTCAAATACATACATAGACCGGAGCCAACCTAGTAGAGACAATCGTTGCGCATTCCTGCCTAGCTGTGGTTAACAAAGAATTTTGACAGCTGCCCCCCGCTACCGAAATCCTGCAAGTAATTTTGGTAGTGCATGAATTGACGATCCAACACCCCTCAGCGTTTGAAACAGTGTGCTCGACGGGATTTTGATGTGGCCATTTTCCCTCTCATGGGGATTTTCAACGACCAATTCTAGCACCATCGGCCTTGTACTTTCCTCCTGGTTTGCTGCTTGCTGTCTGTTTGTTACCTGTTGCTTTGCCAATGGCTTGCTGACCTTGACAATCACACTTGATGGGAATTGGAGTGGTTTTCCACTACCAATTAGCGTACCTCCGCTAAGCGTCATTCGTAGAACCACTGTTGCCTCTTCAGAGGGCGGTAAAGTGATGCCTGGAGCAACACCTCGAAGATGGTCTGGACTTTCAGCACGACGAAGTAGCAGCGTATATCTCGCTACCTAGGTGAATTCAGTGTACATCAGTGTACATATACATATATATACATATATACACATACAATATACAATATACAGTACATGAAAAGGTTATAGGATGGGCAGGAACTTCTTCCTTTCCTTCTATTGTCGTAGGCAATATCATTGCAGAATCCTTGCAATCTGCTTGCGTCAGCCATCATCGTTATTCAAACTCGTGTCGCAGCATCCTGAGACTTTCTTTGTGCATCCTTGTTCTTTCCTTGCAGTATCCTTGCAATGTTCTTGCTCTTTCCTTGCAGCTTGCTTGGTTTCCAGCGCCATCAGCCTTGTGCTTATGCCCTTCAAGAGCTGCTATGGCCCGCATGTCTTGGATTGGCAGGCGAGGGTGCATGTTTGATTCTCTGCATATTTGGCATGTCGCTGCTGTCTTTGTTAGACCCAAGATCGCAGTCTCATTCTAGCAGAGTTGGACCGAAAGTGTACCAGAGAAAGGAAGGAGGCATCCAAGCACGAGAGTAAGCAGCGTTGGGACATCTGTATGATTCATCAGAGACCAGGTTGCACGTGAGAGGTGATTGAATTTTAAGTTCGGCTGCCAATGCTATCTCTCTTTGCACTTCCTGGCCCATTTGCCCATTCAGCGCTCGCAGTTGCGGTCTTCAAGCATAAACAACGATTGCCAAGGTTCAGTTTCCCACCCTCACGCCACCCTCCATTGACCATGGCCTCCGCCGGCCAAGGTGTGCGTCCCACATGCAATTCAATTTTGAACGTCTCAGAGCAATCATGCGTCTGTATGACTATTTGGAGTGGGACGTCTGTATGGTTCATCAGAGACGAGGTTGCGTGTGTGAGGTGTTTGAGTTTTAAGTCACGGCCCATCGGCCCATTCAGCACTCGCAGTTGAGGTCTTGAAGCATAAAACTATTGCGAAGAGTTTACAGAGGTGGATGGCTTCATCGGAGACCGTGCAGTGAATTAACGCTAGCCAGGCAAGTTGAACTAACGCAATCAAAGCATACCTCTGGGCCTCTGGGCAGCTTCTTGCATCAGCAAGCAGGTTTCGGCGCGGCCAGGAAATGTTGGCTGCTCCAATGCGATGAGATTACTACCGCCGACTTAGCTGCCAGATGGTGGAGAAGCAATGACTTCTCGCACTCATTCTGTCTTGTTCCTGTTCAGCGCGCATTGGCGCAACTTGCTTTGATCTTTCCCTTCAGCCCAGATAGGCTCCGGGGTGGTCCGGCTCCGCAAGGTCCGCAGGTTCCGGGTTTCCGCGAGGTTCTGCAGGGTTCGGGCGGCTCTGAAGTAAGATTCAGCAGCTTTCCGCGAATGTTCTGCAGGGTTCCGTGGGAGGGTTCTGCGAGGGCTCCGGGAAAAGACTTTTGCAGGGATGTGCGAGGTTTCTGCAGGGTTCCACAACGGTTCCGCAGGGTTCTGCGAGGGCTCTGGGGTGGTCTGGGGCGGCTCTGGGTTAAGGTGTCACAGGGTTCGGCGAGGGTCGAAAAAGAGCGCCGCACAGTTGGGATATCCCGAGCTTATTTTCAATTTGTGGTCACCTCACCGAGGCAACGACTCCCCCAAATGGTTGGCTTCCTTGTGGCTCCCGTCCGAAACATGAGGTAGTCGCCTGCTGGTGCTGCGCGGAAAGCCCCAGGACACAGTTTGCAGCCCTCAAGAGGCTACTTACACCAGGGATAGGACATTTCCGGGTGTTTGGGCCAGGGTGGATATCTCAGTTTGTTTGAGCTTCCCTTGAGTCCAACGTGCGTGTTTGCGGTGTGAGCGTTTGAGGGGTTTGCAAAGCAGCGGAATCGGGGGTGGAGCAACTCTAGGCCGTGTCGTGGTGCAGGCAAGACCCCGTTGGCCACACCAGCCCTTTGAACTCACTTCCAACAGTGGTCTATTTGAATAGCCACACCGGGATTGTGACTGATTCGCAAAACTTATCAATAGGTTGCGATGGACAGTCCACACCGGGTCCACCTTACGATCGGCGGGATGCGGTTGGAGAGGCCTTCGCATTTCTGGCTCAAGCAGTCCTTCAAGTACCTGGCAGACCAAACAAGACACACCACGATCCAGCTCGAATCGAGGCATGCTGCAGCCATTTCTGACGGTTGCTTTGCAGCATAGATTAGTGATGAACTGGATACATCACACACAGCCAAGCGCTTTCGGCTCATGCCATCAAGCATCAACATAGCCACACTTGCGTACCGAGTCTTGCTTTGAAGTAAATGGCCTTAGCGCCGGATGACCCGCAGAAGTACGAGACTCGTTCACTTCTTGGAGGGCAGGAGTCAAGCAAGCCATTGTCAAAAGAAGATGGGTGTGTGGTTTTGTGAGGGCACCCTTTTCAGATTGGTTTCAAGGGACATTAACAGGACATCTACACATTTTGGGAGTTTTGCTATGCTGACACACCCATATAGCTGGTTACACCCGCCCCTTGGTAAGCTCTCTTCAAAATAGCTTTCGACAGGACGTCAAGCGCAGCCTCGGCGACACTGCTGATGCGCACTTCAATTGCAGAGGTAGAATTTGTGTGTTTCTCAATGGGGTTCGCGCCCCTTACAGAATTGAGCATTTAAAGGATGTTTTCATCATTTTAGACGGCCGATTCCTACTTGATTTTGGTCAAGTGCATTGTTTTCTTTCGTTTGGGAGGTGTCGCAACGTGCATTGGCTGAAGCGACTTTGTTGCAAGGTGCAAGTTACTATATCGAATCTTCTGCTTCCTTCTGTCCAGCGCAGTGGTCCTCTCGTGGCTGGGCTGACTGACTCACAAGGATGTGGGTATGGCTCGTTAAAATAGGGGAACTCTCCCCAAAAATAGTGGTTCCCTTCAAACACAGCCCCATGTGTCTGACTTATAGCTTGCATGGGCGTGAGTGTTTCTCAAGATGGTTGGTTTGAATATACACAGAATCCAGAAGAAACCTACGCCATTTTACGGGTACCTCTTTGAGGCACACATATTTGGCTGTGCCAGGTTTTCCGGAAACTATTTTTTGGGACCGACTCCTCTTTTGAGAAACCTTCGTGGACGGTGAGGCTGGCTGCGCTCCACGTGTTCCTGCCGGGAATTTTCGTCTGTGTCTTCCACAGAGCGGCCCGACAGCGATGCGGGGGTTATACCGATGGCCTGACTTGAAAAACAGTCAGCGACGCTGCTGCGGGGTGGTGGTGCTGGGATGGGGAATTCAGCATCTCCAAGACTCGAAGACCTTTGGCCCAGAACCTTCTTTGGTTTTCCGCTTGCTGATTCATCACTATAGTGCTTGCTGCGAACCAGCAAGCCTTGAGACAGGGTGTGTTTCTTTGGAGTCGGTACCCATTTCAGGTTGGAAAAACGGGAAACCAAACGAGAAGCCACCATCTTGGGGCCCGCATTTTTTTGACACGTACCTGTGTGTGTGTGTGTACGAGGTCAGTTCTTTTTCGATCTCTTAATCACCTGGAAATCAATTTGCAAGGGTTTAACCAGCTTGTGAGACATGCTTACATTTGCCAACTAAGAAGAATCACCCAGACGACTAGCCCTGCTATTTGCATATCGGTGCAGCGCAAGAAGCTGAGCCCATGGCTTTGAGTTGCCTGGAGGATGTCAACGTCAGAACACCCAAGTTCCTCTTCACCCCTACCCCTTGGACGATTTTGGTACATGGGGCCGCAATCGTCAGCAGGTTTCAGCTGGGGTTTCCAACGATCGCTCTGAGGCTATTTGTGGTGTGACCTGCGTAGGCAAGGCGGAGCCTCTTCAGCACTGGCAGGCCGTTGGGTTTGGGCGGAGATGGGAATGGGTCGCCCCTTTTAGAACGCGAGTACCATAAAACAAAGCAGATTTCAGCGGTTGTTTGTGTCATGGTCCTTACCATAGAACGTGGTCCTGACCCTTTTGGCTGCTCACCAATGGTGGGGAATATGGAAAAACATTGCATCCTGTTCATGGAAGGAGTGACGGTTCTTGAGGAAAGTGCTGAGCAAGGGCAAGTGAGCTGGAAGAATGGCAGCACGGATCCCTGGAGCATGCTCCTTGACAAGTGCCATCGTTACACATTGATAGGAGGAGCAGCGCAGGTTGCTGCCTGATATCATGGCGACCTTGTAGCCATGTTGGTACCAAAGTCAATGTGTTTGGGTACCAGCGCTCACTTGGTTTTTAGGGACGAGGCCCGGGCGATCTTCTGACCAAGCGCATCCGTTGCAAGCCAGCAACAACCGTCCCATAGGCCCAAATTGACCCCAAGGCTTTACCGCCCCCCCTACCTTGTACTATCTCTCCAGCGGATTCGGTCACTACACTTGGACCATTCCGCGGATGCCAGGGCTGCTGCGTCGACTTTGACAAGTGCTTGGAGCGGCCTTTCAGCTTAAGCTCGTCAGATGGAATAGCTTCTAGTTGGTTTGATAGGCAGGGAAAGAAGGAATGACCTATGAACCATGCCCTGGTTTGTTGTGAGATTCCAAGATTCTTTTTCCCCGCTCAGAAAAACAAGAAAAGCTTCAGGGCGACAGAGCCGCATACCTCCCAGAGGCGGCCTGCAATTAGAACGTGAACGCTATGTGTTGCAACAAGATCATCGGTTGTGCCGTACAAAATTCCTGTTCACAGTGGACGGTTCGTCGAAATTGGTGCACACGCTGAGGTTGCCCTTGGGAGCCAACGGTATCCCCTTTGGTGATCTACTTCTATCTCAGCTGAGCACCCCGAGCTACATCAACTTGACAGGCGCAGCAATCGAGACGCGGTTAGATTGTGATCTCATTGATTCGGATGCCAGGCATCCCCGTGGATGGCAAGTTCAACTATAATCAGATCATCAGCGAGGTATGGGACCTAGCAGGATTTTGCTGTGGCCCTTCAGGTTAATCATGTAGCATGATCAAAACTCCCTTTGCTTGGGTTTGGTAGGGACGGTCTTCAACTTCTTGATAGAGGTTGTAGACAATCAATGAATCAATGCAAAGGTTTTGGCCATGGCACAGATGTTGTCACACGCGGCGCAAAGCGCGGGACTCGGCCTGTCTACGTGACGGCCAAAAGCCAAGCCGAGTTAGGCGACTCCACCACTGAAGACGCATTTCAGCGTAGAAGCGCCGGAGGGGCGTAGTGGCCTGCAACATGAAGCCGATTTTAAGGGCCAGAAGATGCCGGGGAAGTTATACGCTGGCGAGTGGTGGCGGGGCAATGAGCTCGGCGGTGTCGTGGCTTCGCTCAATGGACCTCTCTTGTCATGGGATCCATCCCAAAAAGGCACGTGGAAACTGGTTTCCCCAAAGGCCTAGGCAGCAGGTTTGGGACTTTGGGGTAACGGATGAGAAGGGAATTCTAGGATCTTCCGTTCTCCTGTCTTTTCGGGTCAGGAGGAAATGCTATGCTGACCATTTGCAAGATGAGGGTATGTCAGGCTTTCAATGAGTCTTGCTGGCCCAAGCGCTTGACTGAAATGCTTGAGATGTTCGTTGTCATTGGATTGACTTGCGAACCTTGCTTTAATTTAGACATCCCACCTGGCGCCAATTGCGTGTACTCGAGGTGCACAACCCCTACTTCTGGAGTGGTTTGGGTATTTGGCCGATGTCCATTGGAATGGGAATCACCGAGCAGCAGCGGCCTGACGAATTGAATCTGCAAAAGGGCCTTGAGTTTCTGCGTGCCAGAAACTGCCTTCAGGCACTCTGCCATCCGCAAAGCAACGGAGGAGGCATTTTCCCTGCCCATGAATGAAGGCAGGGATGCATCGGCTAAGGTCGTCAAAAACCAAATGATTCTTGGTTGAAGACATCTCAGAGGCGTCAGACTTCGGAAGGGTCCCACTAGTTTTTGAAACCATGTCGTGTCTCGAGTTGCAGGATGGATTCGGTCTGGTCTCCGGCGGTTTTTCAAGGCGAGGACAATGGGGGAGCTGGAAGTCAGAAGTCGACAGTGGCAGGAGAGAGCGGACGCGGGCGAGTTGAAGGTTATGGAGGACTTGTCGATCTGGGTCCACCAGGCGTGCATCGACTAGCATCACTAGCATCACTCGCATCACCGGCATGGCTAGCATCATTGGTATCGTTCGCATTTCGCATCATTAGCATTATCAGCATCATTCGTATCACGAGCATTATTCGCATCACCAGCATCATGCATCGCAACCATGCCAGCATGAACTGGTGACCGGAATCCTCTAGTTTGTTTGTTCTTCGCATTTTGTTTTTTTTAAGGATTTTTGCATTTATTTGATGTATATATTTTTCATTTGTTATGTTGCGTTGCTTATCTTCTCATTTGGTTCTCTGTTGACGAAGCTTGTCGCCGTAAAAAGGCTTGTTCGAGAAGATATGAAAAGAAGAGCATGCAGAAACAAGATGACTGAGATATTGTACTTCGAAACTTATTTCAGTATCTCTGACTTTTGCTATTTGGCAATCCTTGCATGTAGAAGTTACATCAGACTCGTTTGTTTTCTTACTGCCATTTCTATCTTATTGATATTTGCAAATCTTACCGTTATATTCATTTCTACAGGATTCACTATTTGTTGGAATGCACTTCTCACTCATTCTCATAGAGCTATTTCTTGTAATATTATGTCCTTTTTAAACAAACGCTTAGTGTGATTATTGGGCCTAAAGATTCACGAAGATAACTCACTGAACCCCATTCCG